CCAGACGTTGGCTGAGGATGGTGCAAACCCATTTTCCAGGTTTTCTGGGGATAGCATTGCCCTTCCCAGTGTAAGTGCAGCTCCCTGGAACCAGCAGTTCTGCTGAGGAATGGCTCTTTGGCAGCAGGACTGATCTGAAGGGCTGGGCTCTAAAAGCTCTGTTCTTCCACAGAGGAATATTCAGTGCCAGCTGAGTGATCAGGAATCCACAGATGTGCACCCTGTGTGCACAAGCAGAGGCTGAGCATGGTAAATGATGTTTAGTAAGTGCAGGAGGGAATTCCATAAATCCCTGGAAGAATGTTACTAATTAATTCCACGTTGTCTTCATGCAGGAACAGGTAAAATAAAACTGGTTTTTTGTAGGCATTGAATAAGTTCTTTAATATAAGTTCTTTAAAACCTGTTAAATTTCCTCCATACAATTCTCATGGCATTTTTGATCACTGCTCTGCCTGCTAAAGCACCCACTTAAGGAGTTTGTACAACTCAGGCTCAGAGTCCTGCTGTAAAACAGTGTTTCTAACAGGAATTTGTTTCTGACAATGCCTGAGCTTCTCTCTTGCTGCTTCCCAGCTTTTCCGCCGTGTGGCTGCTGCCTTACCTGGGATGGACAGCACACCAGAGAAGAGCAAAGAAGACAGTATCCTTGTTTGCCATGGAATTATCTGGTGTTAAATTTGGCTTACTGACTTTCTCTGGCACATTGTGGGGACGAGCCTTGCTGGGGTTTGCAGGGGTGTGGCTGAAGCAGGGCACGGAGCTGTTGGGGTGTGAGCAGAGGGATGGAGCAGCTCTGCCATGAGGAAAGGTTGGGACAATTGGGATTGTTCAGGCTGGAGAAGAGCAGCTTTGGGGTGACCTAATTTGGACCTGAAGAAGCCAAAAAGAAAAATGGAAAGGGAATATTTACAATGGCTTGGGGTGACAGGACAAGGGGGAATGGCTTCCCACTGCCACAGAGCAGAGTTAGATGGGATATTGGGAAGGAGTCCTTCCCTGTGAGGGTGGGGAGGCCCTGGCAGATTACCCAGAGAAGCTGTGGCTGCCCTGGATCCTGGAAGTGTCCAAGGCCAGGTTGGGGGGGGGCTTGGAGCAGCCTGGGATTGTGGAAGGTGTCCCTGGGACAGTGGAAGGTGTCCCTGCGCATAGCAGGGGTGGCACTGAGTGATCTTTAAGGTCCCCTTCTAACCCAAAACACCTTGGGATTGTATGACCCTGTTTGTAGACCAGATATAAATGGCCAGAAGTTTTACTTCTCCACTTGAACTGAGGAATTTCTACAGCTTTAGAGCACCAGAGCTTATTACTCTTTTTGTCCATCCTCTGAAAGGTCTCACCACGTGCCTGCCTTTGCCTGTGTGGGCAGGCCACGGAGAGACCCCAAACAACCCTTCCAGATCCTGTCCTGGGTGATTCCTTGACTGTCCCTGCAGTGATTGACATCAAACTAGAGAAGCCCCCCGAGCAGCCAGTGACGGAGAGCGGCTGCTCCTGCTAACAGCCCCAGGCGCACGGGCTCGGGAGAACATCGTGCTCATCGCCCCCCGGGGCTGCCAAACCATCCCCAAGCGAGCAAATGAACCCCTGGGTGCTGGTGGGGAGCAGCCCTGGCCGCCCCTCTCACTGCATGGTTTGAGCCCTGAGTGCAGAATGAGTGTCCTGTCTTTTTGAGTTTATTTTTTTATGTTGTTGCACTTTGGCACCGCGGTGCCCTTCACACTCTCTCTCTCTCTCTCTTCCTCCCTTTCTCCCCCTGTTCCCACCTGGAGCCTCCCTGCTCAGATGTATCTTGTGAATGCCATGGAAAAGCTGCCGAGTTAGGGAAGACAAAAATGAAGCTTTTGGGGGGGTGGGTTTTCTGCCTTCCCTCCTGCCTTGCATCCTCCCCCTGCCTTCTCCAGCCCTCTGTCCTGCATCCCCACTTCCTCTGGTAAAAGGCTGCTCCTTAAACCAGTCACTTGGACTTGCCTTTTTGGACTCTGCAGGTTCCCAGGCTTTGCTTCCCACAGGGCACACACCCCGTGAGCTCCCTGGTTTCTCCTTTCTGTGGATGACCCTGGCTAACTCTCGCTCACCATTTCCCAGTTTTGCCCCTCGAGTCACACAGGCCCTGGGAAGCCCCAGACTCTGAGAGCTTTGGCCTTGTTGCTCCTGTTTGTGTGGCAGGGACATCCCAGAGCCTGCTGGAATCTCTTCCCATCCAGAGGATGTTGGTGAGTGTTGGCTGCACACGTGGGAGAGGACAAGGCTTTGCAGCCCGAGGCTGGGTGGAGAGAGATCCTCAGGGATTCTGGAAGCAAACAGTGACCTGGAATCCATCACTGCAGGGGCAATACCTGCCCTGGGAGTCATGGATGCTCCTCAGGCTCCTTCCCTGATCTCCATTCTCCTGCTCTTTGTCATGGGAGCTGCTTCATGCAGAGCAGGAGAGCACAGCAGAGAGAAGGGCAACATTCCACTCTCATTCCCAGGTTGCTGCTTGGTGCAATCATTCCCATTGCCTCTGCCCTTGGAGCAGAGCTCTGGGGTGGGACCAGCAGCCAATTCACTCCTGGGGGAGTTTGTACCTTTGCCAAAGCTGAGGGGAGCAGTGGCAGGGGATTCCTGTCACAGTGGGTGGAGGATTGGAGGATTGGATGCTGCTGAAGGGAATTCCGGTGTCACTCTGGGAACTGCCTCCTTTCCCCCAGCCCCTGGTTTTGAACTCATTCCTAGAGCTTTTCAGAGATTTCCTGGGGTTTTGGGTCCATACAAAGCTGGTTTGTCCGTTGGCAGAGAGGAGAATTCCTCTGTCCTTTCCCCCCCTGGCCTGTGTGACACAGAGCACGCTGTGGTGGGACAGTGACCACGCCAGGGGGGCCAGTGGCACTCCCTCCCCTCCCTTGGCAGCGTGTCCCTTGGTCCGTGTGTCACCTGAGGAGGGGAAGGGACAGCCCTGGCCTGGCAGCAGCTGACCGAGGTGCCCCGAGCCGCCTCCCTGGGGCGAGCAGGAGGAAGCTGGGGTGTGAGTCCCGTCCTGTCCCCGTTCCCTGTACATAGCCCGGTGGCAGTCGCTGGTGTCGGTGTCCGTGTCTGTAGAACAGGTGTTGCTGTCCCTCCTCACAGGCAGCTCTGCTGTCCCTTCGTGTTGTTTCACGGACCGGGGCGGGAGGGGGGAGACCCCAATTAGGGGCGGGGGGTAATTAGTGGAATCCAATAGTTCCCTTCCCACTGTTTTTCTGGATGTGTTCCTGCCGTGTGTCCGGCCCCGCTGTCTTGTAGCTGTAGCGAGTAAGTGTGACTGTAACTCTGAGTAAGGACTGTGTGACACAGCCACAGTGTATCACTAAATAAATAAAGTTATTTCACCAACACTGCGCTCTCCTGCTGCCACACCGGCCTGGGGGGAGAGGGGCTTGCTCCCAGGTGTGACATTCCTGTCCTGAGCAGGGATGGAGGAAGAGGAAGGATGGAGGAGAATGAGGAAGACAAGAAGAAATAGAGAAAGAGGAGGAGGAAGGATGGAGCAGGTGGCATGAAGAGGAGGAGGGTTAGAGGAGGAAGGATGAATGAGGAAAAAGGATGGGGGGAGGAGGAAGAACAGAAGTGGAGGAATGGAGAAGGAAGGACAGAGGAGGGAGGGAGAAAGGACTTTGCTGACGTTGTTGCAAAAGGTGGAATCTGTAACAATATTCACAGGAGGTCTCTTCTTTGCGTTTGATCTTTGTTACTTTCAAGCCTGCTCAGCAAAAAAGGAGATTTAATCCAAGAAATTGAATTGAGCAGCCAATGAGCTGGAAGTGATGTGCAGGTGTTGGAAGGACAGGTGACTTGTGGGTGGAATTGCTTCATTGAGGGTTAGGGCTGGACGTGCTTCAATCATCTCAGCCCTGGGGGAGGTTACCAAAGCTTGGGAAGAAGGATCCTTATTTTGGGATAACAACAGGACCTTGTGGATCCCAAGGTGACTCTGAATGGAGCCCACAGCTCCTGGAGCCCTCAGGTGAGCCCTGCCCTGCAACACACCTGGGACTGATCCTGCTCCTCCAGAAAGACCTGCAGGACTCTGCCAGTGCTGCTTCCCTGCAGCCTGAGCCCCTGGCAGTGCTCCCTTCATCCCTGCAAGTGTCCAAGGTCAGGTTGGACAGGGCTGGGAGCAACCAGGGACAGTGGGAGGTGTCCCTGCCCTCCCATCCAGGCACTGGATGATCCTTCCCACCCAAACCAGTCCATGATTTTATAAATTTGTGCCTCTCAGCCCAGTTTTGTGTCACTAAAACAATCCTGTGTTGCTGGAGCTGTTGTTTTCCCACCAGGAATCAGTAATTGCTCGAGTTCTGGAGGATGAAATGCACTCTGGTGGCCTTAATGCTTTGCTAATTAACATACCCCAAACATGAATGTGCCTTGGGAAAGAATCCACTCTTTCCAGTCAGCCAGGTCAGCAGGAAAACACCTGAGTCATTCCCTGGGAGGAGCTGCCCTGGGCAGGGGAGACCTTCCTGCAGCTCCTGCCAGGGAATGCTCTGAAGCAGGAGGGACAAATTCAACCTTGAAATTGGACCTGCAGCTCCTCCTTCCCTATGGGACACAGAGATTGTGGGAAACAGCTGATGCAAGAGGTCTTCCCTTTCCCAGAGTGTTGCAGGGGCTTCCAGGATGTTCCTTCTCCTGGTAGAAAAGCTAATTTTTAATTTGGAGTGAAAAATGTCTTTTCCAGTGTCTGTTCCCAGCCTGGCTCAGTGTCCTGCCCTGCTCCTGGAGTTGTGCTGGTGCCACCACAGCCACCATCCTGCCTTGCTCCTTCCCAGCAGTGCTGGGACACACTCCAGGGAATCAGGGGCTGATTTCCAGCAGAGTCAGTGGGAAAAGCCCCTGAAACAGCTGCAGATCCCAGATTTTCTCCTGCAGGCTGCAAAGGTGACTGGAGCTGAGCCTTGGCCCAGCATTTCCTTGGAATGGTGCTCATGGTGGGGACATCCCAACCTCCACAGACTCCTGAGTGGGAAGAAGCTGAATTCAGGCTGCTGTACTTGATTTATTGATTGATTTTACAGAAAAAGTGGAAAACACCACAAGGAAGAGAAGGTCAGAGCCAGGGCCGTCCTGAAGCCATTACAATGGGATCCCACCAGGCATTTCCCCCTGGATTTGCTGATAATTTCCTTGGTAATTCACATATCCAAACATCCCAGTCTTATATTGTCGGGGTTTTATCAGCAAAGAGGCACAAAGAGCCAGAGCTGTGCATGGACTGGGGCTGGATTTTACTCCTGGAGTTCCCAGCAACACAGAGCAGAGGTGGGACAGAGGAGAAGGGAAGAATTCCATGGCACAAGAGAGTAGAACAGGTGAATTTCCTGGAGGACAGTGCCTGTGCTCTGCTCAGGAATGCTCAAGAACCAGGGATTCAGGATCAAAGGATCCAGAACCAGCCCAGAACTCATTAATTTAAATCTTGCTAAACTCTGGATCCTGCTGGAGCAGCTGCCCCCCAGGACCCACTCCTCACCAGCTTCTCCCAACACCCATTCCCAGGAGCACAGCCTCAATCCCCACCCACCTTCCAGCCAAATGAGCCCCTTGGCATCTCCCCACGTGCAAAGAGCTGATCCTGGGCAGGCCAGGGGTGCCTCCAGGGAAAGCTGGAACGTGAGGAGTCATCTCAGACGTGGGGGAGAAGGAGTGGAGGGGTTTTGGCAGGAGGAAGCTCCCCGTTAGTGAACTGTCCGTTCCTTCTGCCGCTGGTAATCTGGGAGGGAGAAAATGGCCAGGGGAATCACCCAAACTGTTCAGGAAAACACACATTCCCGAGTGGAGGCAGTGTTTGAGACCCTCTGGCTTTAAGAGTGCACCCCCACCAGTCACTTCGAGTGATTTCAGGGCATTTAGAACAAAATGTTTGTTTGAAATTATTTGTTCAAAACCCCCTCTGCTCCTACTCCTTTTCTTCTTAATGGCCACTTTCCATTCTATAAAGAATCCTTGTTTGGCTTGACTTCTCCCTTTTTTCATCCCTTAAATCTTGGAAATTTATGGGTGCAGAAACTGGGAGTTAACCCAGTCCTTCCCTTCACTCACAACTCAAGCATCCTTAGGGAGGGATATCCACCATTTGCACTTGTGCCAGACCTCGTTCCTACGTTATTCAAGGATAATTAGCTGAAAGTCATGAGCTTTAAATTAACTTTTCCATTCCCAACCATCCCACTTTCCTGCTCTCCGAGTTTTCCTACATGAAGCCAGGCCTCATTATCCTGACGTGGTGCCTGATCCCAAATCAGTCAGTGACCTTGGGCTGCTAAACTGGGGTGGAATTCTCAGGGATTTATGGCAGTTTGCTCCCCAGGGAGCATCCCAGGCCTGGGCACTCACTGTAGGGGAAGTACCGGACGCGCATCGTGATCTCCCGCGCCGTCTTCAGGATCTCCACGGCCTGGAAAAGGAAGAAAGAACATTCCATGGGTTCTGTGCAGGGCTGAGAGGCTGCAAGGATGTGGATCCCCCATCCCAGCGCTCACCTTGCTGTGCTCAATGTCCTGGAAATCCACGTCGTTCACTGAGAGCACCTGGTCCCCCTCCTGCAGCCCGGCCCTGTGCGCATCCGAGTCGGGAATCACCTGGGAAGGGAGAGCAGGGATGGCAGCAGGGAATCCCCCACAGCTCCCCTCCCACACTGCCCCGGGAGCAGTTCCAGGGGCTGGGAGGAGAGCAGGGAGCGTGCAGGATGTTCTGAGGCAGCCAGAGCCCGCCTGGGGCTCAGCTGCTCCCGGCGGCACAGGCACAAGGACAGACACACCTTGGAGATGAAGATTCCCAGCTGCGAGGCTTTTCCTCCCCGGATGTTGAAGCCCAGCTGTGGGAAAAGCCAGCAGGGAAATGCAGTCACCAGGCCCCTTCCCTTGGCCCGGTTCTTTGCATTCCCCAGGACTCTTCTCCCTGTCCAGGGCCATTCCAGTTCCCCAGGGCTCTGCTCCCTGCTCTGCCTCCCGGAGGGATCCGAGGCCCGGCTGCTGCGGTGCTCAGCCAGGCAGCAGTGCCAGGTCCTCTCTCCCAATTCCTGCCCCCGGGAACACCTGAGGGCACCCGCTCCATCCTCCAGCTGCTCCACATCCCCAGGTACCACACTAGGAACAACCCTTCCCCTTGCCCACCGCGCTGGCATCCGCCACCCTGCCCGCCCCGCTCCTGTCACAGCAGTTCCCTGTGCCGGGACGCTGCCAGCCGGGAATACCGCCATCCCAGCGCCTTTTTTGTCAGGAAACGCTGCGGGAAGGCGACACCGCGCCCAGGCAGCGCCGCCCGCCTCACCTGCGCTCCGGGCGGCTTCTTGAGGACGATGGTGCGGGGCAGGAACTGCGTGAGCTCGTTGTTGTAGTCGGGGTGGTACACGCGCTGCGGGGGACGCGCGGCGGCTCAGCCGGGGCCGGGCCGGGCTCCCCCGCCCGGCGGGGCCCCGCCGCCCCCGCGCCGTGCCCCCGCTCCCCCCGTCCCGGGCTGACCTCGTGCGGCGGCACCCAGGCGGGCGGGCTCTCGTAGGGCGGCAGGAAAACCACCGGGAAGTCGTCGTAGGGCACCCGGCCCTCCATGCTGCCGCTGCGCCGCGCCCCGAGCGCGACGCACCGCGCTGCGATTGGCCGAGGCCCGCCGCGAGGCCCGCCCCGCGCCTGACGCACCCGCACGCGATTGGCCCCGCTCCGCCCCTCGCGCGGTGCCGTCCCCACCCTCGGTTGGCCCCGCCCCTGAGTGACGCACCGCGCTGCGATTGGCTGCCGCCCCGCCCTCTCGGCGACGCACGGCCCCGCGATTGGCTGCGGCGCCGCCCCGCCGGACGTCCCTGGCGGTGATTGGCCGCGGCGGCGCGCGGCCCGGTTCGAACGGCGGCCGTTGCGGCGCCGCCATTGGCACGGGCAGCGGCGGTTCCAGGTCAGTCCCGCGGCCGCCCCGCGACACCGGGCAGGGCCAGGCCGGGCCCGCTCCGCCCCCGCTCCCGCCCCGGGGCTTCCGCTCCATCGCCGAGCCCCCCTCTCCATCCCAGAGCCCCGCTGAGGCCGCTTCCCGCCCGCTCCCCCTCACAGCCCGGGCAGGCCTGAGGCGAGCCCCGCTCCGCGCCCCGTCCCCCCTCACGGTGTCGTGTCCCGCAGGCCGGTGATGGTGCGGGAGGACGAGAAGGGCATCCCGGTGCGCGTGGCGCTGCGCTGCCGGCCGCTGGTGCCCAAGGAGAGCAGCGAGGGCTGCCGGACGTGCCTGTCCTTCGTGCCCGGCGAGCCGCAGGTGAGCCCCGGGGGTCGCGGGGGTCCCCGGGGGTCCCGGCGCCGCCGCCAGCGCTGCCCCGTGCCTCTCGCCCGCAGGTGGTGGTGGGCAATGACAAAGCCTTCACCTACGACTACGTGTTCGACCCGTCCGCCGAGCAGGAGGAGGTGTTCAACACGGCGGTGTCGCCTCTGGTCCGAGGCATCTTCAAAGGTTTGTCCCGGGTTTTGCCCGTGCGGAGCCCGTTCCTCTCCGCAGAACGGGGGTGTGCTCTCTGAGGCTGCCGTGTGAGGCAGTTCTTGTGGAATGCCGGAGAGGTTTGGGTTAAAAGGGACCTTAAAGCCCACCCAGTGCCACCCCTGCCATGTGCAGGGACACCTTGCACTGTCCTAGGCTGCTCCAAGCCCTGTCCAGCCTGGCCTTGGACATTTCCAGGGATCCAGGGCAGCCACAGCTTCTCTGGGCTTCCCTGCCCTCACGGGCCCAGCCTGGCCTTGGACATTTCCAGGGATCCAGGGCAGCCACAGCTTTTCTGGGCTTCCCTGCCCTCACGGGGATTAATTCCTTCCCAATATTCCTCTGGCAGTGGGAAGCCATTCCCCTTGTCCTGTGACTCCAGCCATTATAAAATGTCCCTCTCCTTCCTTAGGGATAACACAAAGAATTGATAAACATCCTGTTCCAGGATGCTGCAGTGGAGCTGGGATGGCAGAGAATCTGTGCTGTTTCTGTTTAGCTCTAATAAAACATCCAGTCTTAACAAAGAGCTTAAATAACCATATTATCTGTGCTTTATGAAGTTTTCATTGCCTTTTTTCCCCCCCTCAGTGTTCCTGACTGTGACCTATGCTTAAAGCTGGTGTAAAGTGATGATTTTCTGCAAGGGCAGTTTTCAAAACTGCAGCTTTCAGTCTGCACGTGACTCACCCGGGTTCCTTTGTTCCCTCAGGATACAATGCCACCGTCTTGGCCTACGGACAGACGGGGTCAGGGAAAACCTATTCCATGGGAGGCACCTACACTGCCAACCAGGAGCACGAGCCCAGCGTGGGGGTCATCCCCAGGGTCATCAAGCTGCTCTTTGAGGAGAAGCAGCAAAGGCAGGACTGGGACTTCGTCCTCAAAGTTTCTTATTTGGAGGTAAAAGTTTGGTTTTTTTCAAGTTAGGAATAAAGGGAGCTTTGAGGTCACCTCCTTCAGGTTAATAAATATTGGTTAAATCAACCCCTAAGACTCCAGGAGGTTTTGTTAGTCCTTTCTGGTCCAAGGTGTCTTTCTCTGAAGGTGAAATGAGTACAATGTGATGCTAAGTTAGCCCTAATTTGGCTGGTAACTCTGAGCTGCTCCTGTGGTGCCTCCAGATTTACAACGAGGACATCCTGGACCTGCTGTGCCCCTCCCGAGAGCGCTCCCCCATCAGCATCCGGGAGGACCCCAAGGAAGGCATCAAGGTCTGCCCTGCTGGGGACTGAGGAGGGGCTTTGTGTGGGAGTTTCTGTCATCCCTGAAGCAGTGGGATGGGGATCATCCTTGTCTTGGGAGCAGCACAGAGATCCAGGGGTGGGATGCTCAGGGACAGCACAGCTTGCCAAGGAGCACACCCCGTCCCTCCTGCCCATCCCCTCTCTGGTGTGTGTCCCTGGGAGCTGCCTCTGCAGTACTTTATTCACACAAATCCCCTCCCCCTGAGCCCCTTCCTGTGACTGGCACAGCTCTCAGCTCCCTGCTTGGCCCAGGATATCCATGGATTTGTCCCAGGAGCCCTGAGGAGCTCTGTCTCCATCCCTGAGCCCAGCTGGCTCTGGTGCAGGCAGAGGAACCTGGGGGGTGTTTAGGAACAGCATCATGATGTGATTCCATGTTCCTGAAGTGAAATTCAGAACCAGTTTTTCCTGGGAGTTTCCATTCCAGCCCCCTGGCTGGAGTGATTCTTGGGAATGGGCTGGCACAGCCTGAGGTGCAGGGAGATTTTTCTGATCCCAGGTGGGACGAAGAGGAAGCAGAGGATAAACAATGTTTCCTTCCTGGCTACAGATTGTGGGGTTGACAGAAAGAAATGTCACCTGTGCCCAAGAGACCGTGTCCTGCCTGGAGCAGGGGAACAACTCCAGAACTGTGGGATCCACGGCCATGAATTCCCAGTCCTCCAGATCCCACGCCATCTTCACCATCTGCATCGACCAGAAGAAGAAAAATGACAAGTGAGTGTCATTGTGCTGCTGATGGGAGTTACTTTGCCAAAATTTCCTCATCCTGGTCCTGAGCTCTGCTTCCCAAGGCAGTTCAGGGTTTGGCTCTCTGAATTTTGAACTCCTGGGCTGCTCCTTTTCCACCTGGGAGAGTAAAAGAGTTTCTCTCTGCCCTAGGAATTGCAGTTTTCACTGCAAGCTGCACCTGGTGGATCTTGCTGGCTCTGAGAGACAAAAGAAGACCAAGGCTGAGGGAGACAGACTCAAAGAAGGTCTCTGGGCTGGGACTGGTGGAGTTTGGGTTTCTTTTCACTTGGGGCTTAATAAAAGAGCAAAACTTCTTTAACACTTTAATTTGCTTTTTTTAAAGCTTGTTAAAGTTTTAATGAGGGCAGGAAATGAGGAGCTTGGAGCTGTTGAGGTGGCTGTGCTCACTGTGAGCTTTGTCTGCAGGAATCAACATCAACAGAGGCCTCCTGTGCCTGGGGAATGTCATCAGTGCTCTGGGAGATGAGAACAAAAAGGGAGGCTTTGTCCCCTACAGAGACTCCAAGCTGACCAGGCTGCTGCAAGGTGAGAGAAGAGGATGACAAAGCCTAAACTTGCAAGTGTTTTTTAAATAACAAATGAGGAGAAAACTCCCCAGCTCAGAGCTGCTGCTGCAAAGGGATTTGCTTGTTTAATTTCTCACTGAAGCCAGGCCTTTCCTGGACTCTTATTTTAGGTTGCAAATGCAGTGAGATGAGCTCAAAACAAATCCTGCTCTCCTGCACTTTGTGTGACAGGAGGAAACAAGACAAATTCAGGGGCTATTTTTGGTGGGAGAAGGAAGAGGAGAAGTCTGGGAGCAGAGATCTATTATTGTACCTTAATTATAGCAACTCCCTGGGTGATGTCACCAGAATGAAGATCCAGCTCTCTGTGCTTTCCCTGGGATTTGTTTTCTTAGTCTGAATATCTGGTCTTTATTTTTCAATAGCTGGGATTTGTCTTTCCATGCATTTTATTTAAGTTGCCCTTTAATTTGGGCACAGCTTTAGTAATGAAATTACTGGGGTTTTTACAGTAATTACATAATTTGGTACAAATGCTCTTCAGTATTTTCCATGTCTGAAAGTACCTCATAAAACCTGGATTGGTCTGTGGCCCCTGTTTTTTTTTCTGATCAGTAGCTTTAAGAGCCAATTTGTATAAAACCAAAGGGTTTTATACAAACCCTGCAGCTTTGTGATCTGTTCTTAGCCAAAAATTCCTTAAATAGGAGAAAATTCTGGATATTTATGGAGGTCTTGTTGGGAGGGGCAAACCTGAAAGAACCAGGCCAGAAATGGCGTAAAGAAATTATTTATTAGGGCAACAACTGGGGCTTCTGGGGTGAATCCTTTGGTTTCAAAGCCTGACTTTGGCTTTCAAAAACCCACTTTAAAACAGAACAGAGTGTACAGAGGAGAAAGTAATGAATTTCACAAAATCCAGCTGTTTCATCTGCATTTTGGGGATGCACCCATGGCACTTCCCTGCCACTGTTGCTCTGACAGCTTTGCCATTGTTTCTTTTCCTTGCCAGACTCCCTGGGTGGGAACAGCCACACGCTGATGATTGCCTGTGTGAGCCCAGCAGATTCCAACCTGGAGGAGACCCTGAACACTCTGCGTTATGCTGACAGGGCCAGGAAGATCAAAAACAAACCCATTGTCAACGTGGACCCCCAGGCAGCTGAGCTGCACCAGCTGAAGCAGCAGGTACTGGGGGAACCCCTCAGCAAACCCCAAAGGAAGGCAGAACCTCACAAAAAATGCAAAACGTCCCTAATGTGCATTGCTCTGTCTCTGGAGGTGGCTGGGAAGGGGAGGTGTGGATATTTCTTGTTTTCCTGCAGCCAGAGAAAAGTGGTGGTGCTGGTGTAATTTAAATTTCCCAACAAATCATTGCCTGGTGAGCTGCAGGCACAGTTAAAAATACAGAGATGGTTTGGTGCCTTCCTGACATTCCTGCCTGTGTCCAGCACTCGAGGAAGGGGAAGATTTTCCCTGGGGTGATCCCAGAGGGAAGTGAAGAACCTTTTATTTGAAGAATAAATAACTTGAAGTATTGTAACAACACCACTCCTTTCCCCAGTCAGAGGTAAAAGGGGAATTTTGGAGCAGAGGAGTCAGGAAGACCAAGGATCCATGGAGCTGCTATATTTGCAATCAATAATTATTTGTCTCTGCAG